TGTTCTCTGTTTAACTTACCACGTCTACCAACTAGCTCTGTAACTGCAGCCTTGCCGCTCTGGTCACTGAACACATACAGCCACGGCCAAGCATCAGTGTGTTCGATGGAAGTTCATGACTTTTGGTGCAAGCCGCCGTGACAGTCCGTGCAGCTTCGCCGTTAGTCATCAAACCCAGAATTCAAAGTTTGTGCGACCTAGCTGTCTTGAGGTGGACAACAATGTTTGTTGCGATCACCCAGCAACACCTTCAAACCCCGAACATGTCAAGTTGTGTCAGTCAGGGATCCTGTCTCAATAGATTCCGCCAAACAACAAGCTGGAACTGATTTGAAACCTGTAGTTGTGGATTCAATCATCCCAAGTTTCAAGCAAAGGTTGAACAAAAACACTATCTGAAACATTCTGAAACCACCAAACAAGAAGGCTCTTTGTGCAGTGACATCTTCCTGTCTTCCCAACAGGTCCCCTTCGGGTGCGATGGAAGAAACGGCCTAGGAGCTCCAGCATGCCGGCCTCAGAGTGGGAGGATACTGTGCCCATTTCGGGGGCACACTAACCATCAACCTTTCAAGAAAGAATCACAAGGCATGAGGCAACCCTACTGTTCGAAGAAAGAGATCAGCGACCGGACCAAACCCCCAAGATTCTCCTGCAAAGGGACCACGACTGGGACCAACCTACTAGCGATGGCCTCCAACCTAATCGCGATGGCCTCCAACTTGCTGCATCTCCGCTTGATGCTGAGCTCCCAGCCAGCATGTCGCTGTCCATCATGTGAAACATGTAGAGGCTCTTCACCTGTGTGCTCTCTTCAATGCTAGGTTTTCTGGCGTTTGGGCAAATCCATATATGAGATCAAAGGAGAAACATGATGAATCTCCCTAACCGAGCGAAGCAGTGGGCAAAACACTGTTCCTTCATTAAAGGTCCTTCCATGGTCAATCAATCTGCACACATGCACACACAATCACACACATATCCAGTCAGTAAAGGTGCTGTTTCACCGCTGTCAACCCTGTTACGCGCACACATATACACACACACACACTTCACAAGTTCCAAAGTTGCATGGACACTTTCGTCGAGCATGATGTCGAGCCCTCCTTGCATGCGCCGATCCAGGGATCCGATTCTGAAGGGACGGTGTCTGAGAACTCCCCAAAAGTTGGCTCCCCACCTTCGGTTCCAAGCTTGCCTGGGTCGATCCCCGACTTTTCCCAACCGTCTTCCGATGAGTGATTCCCCTATTCAAGTCGTTCAGTATGCATTGCGTGTCGTTCAGTCCTACCTCGTAGAATCACCTATGCTTCCATATCTGCCATTTCTTCTTCATATGTTTCTGCCCTCCCAATGGCACCCACATCTGCGCCACTTCTTCCACTTCCTCGCTCCGAGACCCGCCGGGCCGCCCCCACTGGCTCCACGAGACCCAGATCAGGCGCCGCATCCCCCAGCAGCCGGACGCCTGCGTGGATGGTGGTTCGTTTTCAAGAGACGGCATGGACATCCAGTTGAAATGACAAATGGACCGCCTGAATTGAGCTCACTGGAACTATCCGGAGGAGGCACCTGCAGGCATTGAGTGAAGTCTCTTTGAGGGTCAAGTCACTGGAGTAGCCTCTAAACGACAATCTGATTCGCACCGGCCGTAGCAGATGGATGTACATGGCCGAGCAGGATATTGAATGATATTGATATCCCCCGGTCCTCCAGGTTCCCGGTTGGGTGAAAGACGGAGTTTCCACCATGTTTCCTGTGTTACGATTGGAGACCACCTGGAAGCGATTCTCGACCTCTGGCATCGAACTGCATGGAATTTGTGCTGTGACGTTGGCCGTTTGTTTTTGGATAAACTCCTTGTGTTGATATAAGGATGGATAACACTGCCAACAGGTTGTAAAAGAACAATGGTGTCCTCCCTGCCATTGAGTTTCCTCTTTGATGGTAAAGTCTGTGTGCCAACGTAACTCCACCTTGTCTATGAAAACATGATGTCTCTTGGCTTGGCGTGAGGTGATCTTTAAGTGTTGAACTCAAATTCCCCAGACCATCCATGTATGGAATAGTTGGATACATATACAGTATTGGTTTCATAAATATACTGTACATGTATGTCCGTCCCGGACTCCAACCACCGCCACCACATGGCTCTGGAAAGAGAGGACTGATGCTGCCCTGGCATGGCTCTCCCCCAGCAATTATATGTGTAAAGATTGGGTTCATTATGATACATGCACTGAATTTTAATCCAATATTTTACGAAAACCAAACCAACTTCTGTTTTGGTGCAGAACAAATCTGGCTGCATGGCCAGTCTACTTGCGGTACCAGCTTCAACATACTGCTGATGGTCCTCTACATTCCATGAGCTTCAAGTCATTGCGTGGCTCCAGGTGGAAGAGAGTAGCGCACACATAGAATCACACCAAGAGACCATTTTATCACTACTACAATATGTAATCCATATATTATATACACTAGAATCTACTCGGAGGTTACAGAGTCAGCGATTTGAGTTGGTTTCGAGAGGGTTAGGGTTATGACTTTTGGGGTATACATCTGGCACATCTGAAATCCAAAGAATTAAACAACCCCACCCAAGAACACATCTCTGGAATGCCCTCGACTCCTTGCGTGCTCCTTCGCACCCCTTCGCACCGCATCTGGCAATGGGCGCCGGTGGCGCCTGGTGTGTCCAGGAGCTCCCAGGCATGTCGCGTGACCAGGTTCGTGTTCCAATGAACTCGGCCGCTGTTCACGCCGGCAAACGTGAGCGGAAGCAAGACGGTGTCGCCAGTTTCTCTTTGCGGAAATGTGTGTGCAGCCTCGCACTTGGCAACAGTATCAATGATCTTCTTCCACACTTTAACAAGTGCCCATCATGTCTTGTGCTTGAGAAAGGGCAAAGTTCTTGTTTCGCCTCTTTTCAAGAGGTGAGGGTGAGATCCTCCATGTCTGCCTCACAGAACACGACGATTTGCCCAAGGCAAACTCCTCTGTTTTGTGGGTCCCTGTGTTGGCCACCACTAGGATCCCCGGGCCCACCAGCACACGGCCGGTGAGGCGTGCGAGGTTCAGGGCTGAGACCATGACCACGGCCTTAAGCGCCGCGAAGCGAGAAAAGCGTCATATAGCAAGTGATAACCAGTGTAACTTACAAGAGAAATGCTCAGAGAATATTGTTGGTCTAAACGAACTACATGGTGCAACCGATAAATCAACACAAACTGCTTTAGCCTGTGACAGGCCACAGTTTATAAACGCAAGGTGACATGCCACCTTGTTGATCAATGTGGCATGGGTTGATCAATGTGGCATGGGTCCTATCTTGTAAGCTCGTCTTGTTTAAATTGTGGTGAGCTCAGTTCACATGAAGGCTGCTGGTAAAAGAACATGTCCAACTATTTTGGTCTTAGATGTTACATGTAAACAAATCAGTAAATGCATTATCATCCTTTTTCTGGGCGCAAACTGTTCCTCTACCTTCCAAGGTCAATTGTTGCATTTGGATGTTGACCCAAGAGCACCAGGAGAACACGAAGAGAACACCAGGGCACCGAGAGGAAACATCACACAGCGAGTCCTGGCGAGTCCAGGTTGGTCAAAAACGGATGGCGGTCAGGTGGGTCAACATCGCCACCGATGAAACTAGGTTGTGTGGTGAAAGTAAAACTCTTCTGATTTTGCTCCATGGACTTCTCCCATGAACATCCATGGACTTGCCCCTGGGACTTGTTTCAGGGCTGATGAGCTTGCGTTCCATGCGCCAGGCCTATAAGGTCAGAGCAGGATCCTGTGCGACCCCCAGGTGGTACCTCCATGAAGTCCTACTTGATCTATTTGATGCTCCCCTCCATGTACCACTGTCGGGGAAAGAAACCTTTTGATGGACCCCTTTTTGGGGACGAAGCCCCAAAAACACGAAAGCGGACAATACGCAATTTCACTCGTCCAGCTGGAGACCTCAAGGAATTCCTTAAGGTCCTCTTGCCAAACAAATCTGGATGGTCCACTGGACACTGAATAAAAGACCCTTCACCTGGATTGTAGCATGGTCTTTGAAGGATTCACTGAGCTGATTCGGAAGAGCTGATTCACTGAGCAGCCAACCACGTTGCCCAGGCCCACTTGTGGATTGTAGCCTCAGCGTATTCATCATGTGCAGCTCAAGGCCGCACACAAGTTCTTGCCTCTTAGGGTGATCTCAATAGTTGTATAGTCTGACAATCTTGTGTATCTCTCTATATATAACGATATATATATATATATTAAATATAGTACTATAATGTCTATAATGTAGTACATACATTGTGTGTATATATATTTACATATATTACTTCTTTTTTGGGGGCGGGGGGTGGGCGCCCATGTTCATTTCAATATGCATTGTGTTAATCTACTTCTAAACTTCAGGATCACCAATGACTTTGATTCAGTCTTGATCAGCTGATCTCCTGCAAGGACGACAAGAGCCCACAGCTGATATCCTGCAGCATATTCTGCATTGCATTGGAATGCAGAAACACAACCATTGCAACAACTCTCTGTTGTGCAGCATCACTCAACAATCACACCCCAAGACATTCCAAGAAACACAGGCAGTACTGACAGTGCAAAGTGTGATCCACACCAGAACCATCCAGAATCCATCAAACACATTCAATCACTGAGGATTTGGGCTCACTGCAAGCACTTATTTAACCGTACCGTATACTTAACCCATTGGACCACAACGACAAACTGTATGCCCGCATACATGCACAACATACCACTAAAAAGAACACATACAGAAACAAAAACTGTATAACTGACCTTAACTTCCAAAGTAGAGCCAACTCATGGTATATTGTCTGTCTACATGCACAAGATCTAAGATGCCCTGCTTCACCACTGAGCGGGATATTCTGTCCGTCCTGTATTTCAGCAAAAACAAACAACTTCCTTGTGGCAAAATGCCGTTCCTCCAACAAAGCCCTTTCCCCGCTCGCCCTGGAATCTCAACCGAAACGGCCCCCCACTGGTGGGCTCCCCGGGCACACTAGGTACTTCGTTCGGACGGGCACCAGCGCTGGCGGCACGACGTGAATGGTTTTTTTGGCGCCGCATTGGCAAGTGACATTCAATGAGGGTTGCTGGCCTTTCGTAGGGGTGATCCTAAGAACAACCAAATCTAGAGAGCCAAGGTTGGATCCCGGGGTTGTGGAGCAAAACTGTTAGCCATGTTTGGCCTATGTCGTTACATCTACTTGCCGGTCACAAGACATACAAATAGAAACGGTACGAAACAGCTGGGGGCACGTTGTAAGCATTTGTAGGTTGCAGATCGAACTGCTGGAATCATTATTGCTCGGACTCGCATGTCAACTGTTTACACGTGTTTACACACTTCGTGAGTACAGTACTTTGAACAGGAACACCGGCAATGGGACGTGTACCCGTGTACCCACCCCAGTTATCTATTTGTTTGACCAACCAGACCCGGCGGTCAAAAGACTGGTGACCTTGGACCTGTCACCCGGCTGCTGGAGCTTCATGCTCAGCGGCCACATCCTCGGCCCTCCGGTCCCCCGAAAAGGTGTGACGCTGTGAGGCCCGTGGTTTTCAAGGGAGATCTCTTTGAGTGCACGGGGAGAAGCTTCCTTGGGAATCGTTTCACCTGTAGCAAGAAGCTACTAGTAGGTCTTTGATAGTAGGTCTTTGACGCTACTAGAAAACAAGACCCAAAGAGATAAGATTTCTAGAGTGATACTAAAAGCTTTCTTGGTTATGCCATCCCGGCGCAGTTTTACGCGTTTTCCCCAGCTCGCCGGGTTTACTGACCCAGTTGGTGGAGTCACCAAGCCTTTGGATACTCACACTGAGCTGGCATGGTTTGTATGAATATCAAGCCACTGAGCGAGCTCAGTCACTCAATTGATGCACCAAGAGTTTTTTATGACACCGAAGGGATGACCACAATGCGGGATGCACATGATGCATCACCACAGTTGAAACTACCAGAGTAAATGGAGGTGTGAGGGAACGAAGCTACTAGTAGCAAGGGCATCGCTAGTAACAAGTGCATCGCTACTAGTAGCAAGAAGCTACTAGTAAACGAATGAACAGTTGCTACAACAATTTGGTCATTCACCCAGTCCCTACTACCATCCCACCTGCACGCGGAGGTACGAAGCTGTGGAAGCCCGGTAGCAGCTCATCCGTGGCCTTTGCAACAAACGACTCGCACTCCCCGACACCATGCCTTGCACAGGAAGGTTCTCTTCCATTATAGTCAATTTGGCTTGCTCTTTCATTGAAGCAAAGGGAGATTCTGGAAAAGCAAACAAGAGGACTGGACCATGGCCGAGTTTCTCAACCAATCGAGTCCAGGCCCTCTAGAATGCTATGGACTTTTGAAACCATTGGCTGGTTGCCAAATTGTACCCTACCAAACCACATGAACGAGTGTGATAGAAAACCATGAGGCATGATGGCTTGCGAAAAAGCGTACTCGTCCACGCTCCTCAATCCTCACTCCTATGCTTGTGATCTCGTGCCTCAGATCCTCAAAGCTGCCTGCAGATTCTCAACCTTTTCACCGAAAGGGGCTGGAACTTGAAACCCCTTTCTTCCCCGATGCTTTCCCAGCTCGGGCTCCCCGACCAATGCAAGCTCACTGTTGATCCGCAGAGCCTGCACGCAGCAGCGATCAAGGCATCGTTTCGTGGACTAAACCACAAACCCTCTGGGCAAAAAGGTGTGGTGATGTTCATGTGTTTGCATACATAAAAACAAGAGACCGTACCTGGTTGGCAACAAACCAGGATGATGATGGGATTCCAAACATGTTGTTCAAGGAAACACACTTGGAGGCTCCTTCCGGCATTTACACAATTGGACATGTAGAGAAAGGGAAGATAGAGAACCCAAGGATTTGAACCCCACCACCCAAAGTCATATGAAAGAAAACATACCTGTGCATGTGAACTCGCACTGGTCAAATGTCTGCTTTTTCTGAACCCGAAGAAAGACTTCCACAAGCTTCAGAAAAGCTTTAGGAGGAAGCTACGCACAGTGGAGAGCCATCGCTATTGGCGATGGAGGCCGGAGATCCGCCAGACGGACGCACGATGTCTCACGTGACCGGACGGTCGGTACGTGCAATCCAAGGCGGGGTCCCTGAAGGTCGGCACGACTTGAGGACAATGCAACCATCCGAGCCTCCGATTGATTCAGAAAAGCACATGACCTGACCAAACGGCCTGTATATAGTTCGGGGTGGAAACAGATCCGCTGGAATTCCATTGCGAAAGGGAAGTGATGTCAATGACATTCTCGAGTGAAGTTGTTGCCAAACTTTCTTCCTCCTGAAGTATAGTTTGTTCAGAATATATGCTGAGCTTGGAGTGTTGCAGGAAGTATGTTGAGCCAAACCAGTAACCAGTAGTAGTCAGTAGTATGTTGAGCCAAAGTAGTAATCTCTCCAAGGATTGCCGCAGGGTGTTCGTTTTTGATTTTTGTTTTAAGGGTTGTATAGCGACACCAAGCCCAAGAGCAATGGACGCTCTCTCCCTCAAGGGGCCATTGTTCAGGCAATTCCTTTCATGCCAAATCATTGTCTACTTGGACGGATGTTCCTTTGAGGTGTCGACTGGATGTTTGAGTCTCGGAAGCTGCTAGTTTGCTGTCTGCACGACTTTTGTGGGGTTTCTTAGTTGCTCTCATCTGTGGTGAGGCAACACGCCTATCCACCTGACTGTGGACCGCGCAGAGCGAGGTAGTAGTCAGTAATGGTATATGTAATATAAATAAAGTTATATATATATAATATATACATGGGAAGCAAGCCTGTGCAATCCAAGAACTGAAAGCATCTTTGGCATTGAGGTGTCAGTTGTGGCGGGCCACTGAGTTTTCAGGACTGGCTAGCTTGCAATGCTGCTGCAATGTTTGCAGCAAAGAGGGATCGCCGGCTTAATGGTCCAATATATCATCAGGAGGATCTTGATCAAAACAATTTTCCAACAAATTGCTGCTGTGACTCGCACTGAGAAGCAGGTTGCATATCTTCACAGCTTACTTGAACCATCATAAGACACACTGAAAATGTTTCTGCGAACCCGGTTCGTCCGAAGACCCCAGCGCACAGCTGACAGCTGACACAATGTTTGAGGCAGTTGCTGCAAGCTCTCATAGCTCCTCAACTTGTCTAAACATGGAACAGTTGTTTTCAGGGAGTTCAGGCTAAGATGTTGCAATCCTAACGCTGAAGGAGCAGGCTCCCCGAAGCAAATCCCTTTCAAATACTATGCTGTGTGGCTCTGATATGCCCTGATGCCACAGCCTTTGGGATGCAAATGGAGACGAGCGCGGACGTGTTAGCATGGGTGAAACATATATGTGCTTGAAGAAGAATGTTACGACGAAATCAAGCCGCACCAGTTCCATGTTTGGATGCCTATTAGAAGGCAGATCGAACATCACCCTTTTGGCAAACCTCTTGGAGGTGGAAACTTTGCCTTTCATTTTGCGTGGGAAGCAGCCTCTGCATCATCCTGGGTGTTGCCAATCGGGCAGCCGGTCATTTTTTGATTGCAGCACGACAAAGTCCACCATGGAGGTCGTCGTGGGCTTGCCGGCTCCACCGTCCTTCCCTCTGCTGCAACCTTTGGATCCTCTTAGAGCAGCTTCGTGCGAAAATGATCGAGCTCTTTGCACCTGTATCACTTCACTCTTGCTTCTAGTCGCTTCAGTTGATTCTGGCCAGCACCGTTCCCAAATCACGAGCGAGCTTTGTCTGATAATGCCGCAAAGCTAGTCTGTTTCCATGTCAGCAAAGCTTCTTTCTTGCGTCTTGCTCCTCAATCTCCTTTTCTGGCTGATATTCAGCCAAATATTAAGCAAAATTGCAATTTTCCCTACTCCTTGTCAGCAAATTTAGCCAAAAACATGTCTACATGCGGGCTCCTAATTACTCTTCATGCGGGCTCCTCAATCTCCCCTTCCTCAAGTCCCTGGCAACATCTGGCATAACAACCCCTTCAGCGGCTGTAAATGGCTGCCCTGACCTTTCCACAATACCTTCGACATTTAGTAATCTCTCAATGCTTCAGACCGACCGAATTGAGATGGGTCGGACCCAAGGGTGGCAAGGAATTGCGGAGCTCTTGCGAGGTCGTGCGGATCTCCTGTATATTCCACTATATCCTAAGAGGCTGATGTGTTCGACCCTTTTCTGGCGCAACAAAAAAGGGTGACAATACACCTTCTAAGGAGGTACCAGACACCGTGAATCCCTAGACACAGCGACTCTGTCCACCTCGGATGTCCCGTCCCCTCTCTCCACCTCACCCAGGGCGCTGCGCGCGCCCTCGTAGTCACGCAAGCGGTACAGCAACGCCTGGGTCGTCGCTCGGTGGTGAAGCAGGGCGAACGGGAGGCATCAAATTGAGTTGTCAGAGCTTTCAAGGTTGCATGTTAATGTTCAGTACAAGTTTTCAGGGTCCAATGATACTAATCAATACTAATCATGTCAAGTCTTTACCATGATCATCCATGATCCAATGATGTTATATAAGCCTTTATCATCTTTGTCTGGTTTTCAGAAGGTCCGATCCTGTTAACTCCAAATCATGTTTCGGGTTTCGAAGCAATTTCTGGTTTCAGGCGACTTGTCCTCAAAAGCACCGTCGTTTGATCTGTGGTGTCCGTCCCTGGTGGGTGCCCAAAATTGTTGTATCTCCGTGGTGTAGCTCGCAGGTTGGGGTCGGCTTCACGGATTGGTTTCTTACCCATCCATGCCCTTGTAATCGCTTCTTGTTACTATAGTAACTAGTAGCGATGGCCTCCACCGTGCGTAGCTTCTTGCTACTAGTAGTAAGGCCAGCGAGCTACTAGTAGCGCTAGTAGCGTCCTTGCTCCGTTTGTAGCGATGCCCTTGTTAGTAGCTTCCTGCTACTTGGCCAAGCTGCTGCTTGGGTGAAGACTTCCCAGCCCTCGGGCACTCGGTCCGCGGGCATGACCACCTCGCTGAGCGGACCGAGCTCGGCAGCAAAAGCTTGGTCTCCTAGTGTCTACAGCCAAGAGTACTGGGGGGTGATCACCCGTCCAAATCTGAGCAGTGTGAGAACATGTGAGAAACGGTGTAGACTGGCACCATCCAAAAGTAAGCCTCATATTACGAGACAAGTGGTGTTCATGATTTTGGGGGCTCTTCTTGGTCACAGGGGATTCAGCTGTACCCGCCAACCAATCTAAGCAAAGGGATTGCAGGAATGTTGTATATATTAGGTAGCCTGCAACGCTAAGCTGAGTGTCTTCGGATTCATTGCTGATCTAAGAACTATATTTTTGGTGCTGTAAGCAGGCAGGCAGGCAAGCAAGCAAGCAAGCAAGTTACCCACCCTCCAACAATCGTGGAAGTGAAGTCTTTTGTTGTGACGTGGTTCGACACAGAGTTGCCGCGGCATTTTTCTAAAGGTGCTGGCCAGATGGCCAATTCGTGGAGGGTGAGGTTCGATTCCCTCCTGTAGATCCGGTTCTCATACCGACGTGCGGCGCAGAAAGCCTGCTCATCGCCAGCTCACGTTTGCGAGTGTGTCGAAATGGCCCCTGAGGAGACTTAGGGAGGCTGGAAATGCTTTTGGGATTGGTTGCTGATTGTTAAAAAGAAACATGAAGAGGATTGAACAGGCTATAATCTAAAGGATCTAAAGTACGGGTGTTACTCTCCCTGAAACAATCATGGAACGATGGAAGTGGATGGCATGCCCCCTGGAAAGACAAGTATCCTCTACTACACCACATCACAGGTAAGTGAAATTGAATGTGCAACAACGGAGGTTCGATTTAATGGATGATCCTCGAATGATACGGAACTGTGCTTTATCCCCAAGCATGGAGCGTTGAAGATGGGATTTATATTTTGTCACATGTTTGCTTCATAGGCCTCTTGATCTTGATCATCCAGTTTTGTCAGGTTCCATTCCTGTTCTTGAAGCGCTCTTCTTATATAGGTTGCTCTCCTCTTCGGCACTCTGCGACTACGCGCCAGTCAATGATCGGTCTGGTCGCAGGAAGGCGTGTTCATCATCCGGAAGAGCCAATCCATACTCACACATGTCGACTCGTTTGTCATAGCCCTTCATCAAGGAGAGAGAGAGAGAGAGCTTCAGTCTCCCAAGATTTGGCATTCCAGGGGTATTCCACAATGCCAACTCGTCCTTCTCCTCATAGCCAAATATACAGTAGCCAACTGCCACGAAGACGGCTCAGTTGTCAGCCACACCCGTTGGAACGCTTCCCCAGAAGCAGCCGGACGATCACTGATCAAAGACTCCCAGGAGAGGCATCAATTTCAGAGCAAAGCCCGCTTTCTTTGGGATGGTGCCTAACCACTGAAGCTTAAGGATATTGAAGCAACTGCTTTCGACAAAGTTCATCCCCTTTTTCCTAGCCCAGTTGTTTACCCCTTAGATAAAAACATGATTGAACCTCAGCACTGGAAAGGAGTAGTTCTATCACATGTACCTAGTTAGTCTTTCCTGCCCTCAGTCAAACACCACGTCGCATCTTCGTCTTCCAATCCCTTCGTCGCCTTCATCCATTCCCAATTCCAGGTGGCCTGGAGTGCGAGCTCAACGACAACGCAACTGGCAAATTTGGGGCTGGCCCCGGTCGGGGAGGGAATTTCCTCCTTGGAGCACCGGTCACCAAAGGAACTTTAAAGGGTGTCGGCAGTCTGAGATGTGCACACCGAAATGACCGGAAAGCTGAATCAGGCACATCCTCAAAGAATACCCAAAGAACTCGACACATCCGAAGAACGTCTGACATGAGCCGAGCGAAAAGCACCGGGCACCGAGCGAACTCTCAGGCTGGGTCTGGTCGATGAAGAACAGCGATTCGATGCGTGATCGATGAGGCGCGAGGGGCGAAGCTTCGTGTGATCAAACATGTGCATTTGAAGGACACCAAGCTCCTTTGAAGTACGCCAATGATCATTTGGAGCTTCATTCAAAGGAGCTGTGTGATGAAGAAATCCTGCAGCTCCTTTTACACCCCAAATCCAGTTGTCCCAGTCTGTCTGCAGCTGGTGCAAGAATCTGTCTGCCAACAGGAGGGATCTTCTTCATTCCATTTATATAAAGGATGAACACTAGCAGCGGGTAGAGAACTTTGACAAAGAAGGTTTCACTTTCTCCAAAAATGACACTTTCTCCAAGAATCATTGCCAACATTTAAAGCCAGTTTACTTGCAGAACCCATATTATAGGTTGGGCTTGGGGGGAGCAAAGCTACAAAGGAGTCTTGAAGTGACAAAGGAGTTTGAAGTGGAAGGGTACAAGGATTCGATGCCAAACACGATATCTTTCTGGTGATGAGTGCAGAAATACTGTTACGATTGGAGTCCACATCCATCCTATAGGAACAAAAAACACATATATCAAAGGCTCAAGGAACATCTGGACGACATATATTTTGTCTTTGGAGACACATTGTAGCGCTGCACAAGGTCATCAGGCAGTGATCTTCCGTTGTGAGGGCTGGAACGAACAAATCTCTTAATCAAACGTTGCAGCCGGTGCCAATATCGCTAGAATCTGCTAGGACAAATGAACAAATGGGCTCCTATTATTCCGGTACAGGATATGATATTGAGAGCAAACCTCGCCATTGAACTCGATGGCGGGAGGAGGCGGAGGCCTCGGCCAGAAACCAAGCCCACGCATGCTGATAAGTTTGCGTGAGGCCAAGGCTCAACATGTGGCTTAAGCTGTACAAAGCAATTCATGTACTGTAGCTTGTCTGCGAGATGATCAATTCTGGGAATACCTCAAAACCAGCTCTGGAGCCAGCAGGCTCAGCCCCAGAAGGCTTGAACATCAAAAAGTCAAAATCCACTCCCCGTTTGCCAGCTGAACGGTTCTGTTTTGAAAGCCCTGGCTCCGGGTCAAGTTCACAGTCAATATCAAGTGACAATCCGAGGATGCGTACTATCAAGTTCCACAGACCACTTCCATCCATGTCAAAAAGTTCAGCCAGAATCAGCTCCGTTGCCAGGCTCCCCAAGGCAGGGCATGCATCAACAACTGATAAAATCCCAGAGTTCGAGGTGGATGTCCTTCTGCCCGGGTGGATGGCCTGGGATGGACCCAAGGGCCCATGGGAAAAAGAGAAGTCAATGGAAAAGGCAATAAGTGAGAGAAGTCAGAAGCTCGTGGACACATGTGGAATTAAGCAATTAAGGAGCCATCTATCTACCCATCACCAGCCAAAAGTCGCGAGAAAATTACCAGCCCACCTCCCTAGCCCACCCGAAAACATTCTCGAAAGCCAGGGCCCCGGACTTGCGCCCGTTTTGCTCCCACCTCAAAGCCCACAACTGGACCTATGAACCCGGCCACCCCAAGAGGGGCTTAAAAGAAGTTCCCCTAAAAGTGAAAGGAACATGCAATTTGGTTATGATGTGTGTTTTTTCACAAACCATGCATTGTTCAGTACCTGATGAGACCTTCACACAGAAATCATGAACCGCCACCAAACCTGTTGAGTGTCCCCAAGTTCATCCCCCTGAACAACCAACCCTGACTTTGCACCATTCCGTGCTTGAACAAACTTACAGTATGTGCTGGCGCACTCCTGCGATTCAACAAGGCAAAGAAGCGTTGCCGCTTCTGAATGGATGCCTTGGGGACCTCCCAGACCGTCCATCGGAGCCTCCTGTGCGTCATCCGGTCGTCGGGCTCATGAGGTGTGTATGGTTTTCCAACTAGTGGAAGAGTCATATGAGAGGACTCACATGCAAAGGAACATTAACGTTAGACACACCCGTGCATACCCACAACACATGATAACTATCTTCCTCTTCTGAGAGCCCCTTCCATTCCTTGAAGGAGTTGTACATGGCCTGCAGCTGCTCTCGTTAGGAAAGGAAGATGCTTGCAAGCCGCGCGTGGACACGTTAGCCAGCACCACAGAATCCGGTGGTTTATAGACACCCCTCACATCCCCCTCGCTAGGTATTTTCCACCCAGAAACCACCAAGAACCACCCCTTGGCTGATGCTCAAGCTATAGTTGTATGATTGGAGAGTGTTCATCATGTTCCTGTGATGTGCGGTGAACCGTGCTCCACTGGATCTCTGGATCTGAAAATGTCCAGCGTTGAAATGGCTGGTCGAACCCAAAAGAAGCAGCCCGGACCTATGTTTCAGCCATGAACCGGCCTGCCAGACCGAGTGCAAACCCCCAGTTTAAGCGTTGGTTCTGCTATGGCCAGCTGACAACTTGCAACTTAGATGGGCATCCACACCCCGGTGCGCCGGTCAGACCTTTAAGAAAAGTCGCTCTCCAAATTTCTTAGGATTTGCCAGCTTATCACTTGGACCTGTTAATACTGCTTTTTTTTCAGGGTTACCAAGTGAGAATGGAAGCAATTTCCTTGCTTCGTCACTGGGTGCCTGCAAACCAAGTTATGGCCATCTCAAAACTCAATGGATTAGTTTTCAACCTCTATGGACCCTCAGAAATTCCCGGATTGCCCCTGAACATCCCTGAACACAGAGGACTTGGCTATCTATCCATCTATCCATCCATCCATACTATTTACTTGATCTGCGCCAGCCTCACTCTTAGCGCCCCGCAAGGCAAGAAAACATCCGCACCGAAGGTGCTGAGGCGTTGTCTCAATTCGCGTAAGCCGCTATAATTGCTAGATTGCTGATTAAGCCTTAGCTTGGGGGGGTCGTTGTTGCTCTAGAATGTCCTACTTTGAAGTTTATAAAGGCCGATGAACATCGACCAAACATCATTGGCGATGTTAGTTATGCTGCCCGAGTACAATGCATTATTGACATCGTGTGTGCTTGCCCTGTGGCCTTCCCGAAAGAGAAACAATAAACTATTGGTAATGTTAGTTATGTTGCCCGAATGGAATTGACCTGCGGATTTCCCTATTGGGGCTGATTGAGTACAACACGGCTTAGGGCCTAGGTACCAGCGGCTGGTCGATATCTAAGACGCAACGTCTGGTCGATATCTTGGAATTATCAATCACCAAGTTGCTTGTCGTGGGTGTTAAAACATGTTAAAAGACTATGCTTTCCGTGCGGGTGGCTTCGCCGTGAAGCGCTGTGAATATACTTGTACTCATTGAACACATGGAGGGTGCCCATCGCTCCCTCCCAACTGGCGGCCTTGTTCTCCTTCTTGAGGTTCGGCAAATACTCAGGCGTTAAATGCAAGAAAGGCACCAAATACCTGGCTGGAGTGGGGTAGCCACGGTTGGTTCTCAATGAAAAGACCTGCGGTGCTGGTGGTGAGGACAGGAACCACGGCGAAAACACCTATTTTTGGTCAAAACGCACAACGATAATGTTGCATACAATGAATAGTTGTCCAATTAAATCACGCTTGTTTGGATTTGCATGGACACGAGTGCAGCTGCGGTTTGCAGCTCATACAATTGATGCATATTTAAACTATTTGATTCCCCAAGAAAGAACCACATGCTTCGTTGACGGGGCTTGTCACACGAACAGCAATCATCCCTTCATCTCCAGTCGGAGGCCAAAAACATCCAAAAACAATCTACAAAGGTGTCTTGGGCAGGCCCGGCAGAACACAAGTTATACATAACAATTACAGTAATGGTCCAACAATAACAGTGTGTCATGAAATATCACAACATATAAGAACCACAAGGCCGGCCAAGGCGCAATTGCTCCAAACTTGGTCGCTTCCTCCCAAAACTGGCTGGAACTTCAACTTAGGAGGCTTTAGCAGGGCATGAATCAATCTAGTTTGCAATGCATGGCACTAAGATGCAGCAAGTAACCAGTTTCATAAAGATGTTAAAAAGTATATCCCTAGGGATCTACGCCCAGTCTCAGAAGGTACTTGGACTCTCCAAACCTACATAAAGCCTCTCCAATCACCTTCTCAGAGGGTATGTGGATCCATAGTGTGTTCGCTCTCTGCCGAAGCAGGCCGGCAAAACGGGTGGGCAAACTTTCCTCGGCGGAACGACGTGAACGGCGCGAAACGCGGCCGGACTACTCATTCACGGGCCATGGGTGTTTGGTGCAAGATCTTGTGCATGGGTGTTTGGGTGTTTGGTGCATCGGTGTTTGTTATTCTCAGGATGCTGTCAAAATGCATGGAGAAATACTGTCTGCTCAAGTTGGAATTCGTTTCGATGCTTCAATGGTCTCTAGTCTGTGAGTCTTGATCTCACAGTATCCCAACACAAAACAAAGTAACCCAGTTCCTTTAAAGTGAACATACTTCACCTTTAAAGCGTTCCTTTGGCCTCTCACAACTCAATGGATTGAAGGCTACCCTCGGGTATTTCGTGGGGTGGCCAGCTTTTCTGCTTCTAGCAACTTCATTGAACGATGGGACTCTCCTACCTGGGATCGCCTCACCTGGCATATAATCTTACAAGTGAGGCGCCAAGGCACAAATGCCACCAAGAGCTCACCAAGAACTTGAATGGTCTATCTATTGTTTTCTTCTCAGTCTGAATGCTTCATCCTCAACACCTAGGACCTAGCAGACCTAGCAAAATCCAAACCCACCAGAAAGTATGTTTTCGGCTGGCTGGCACACTTGGAGATTCACAAGGTGAAGCCACATGAAGCGTTCACCATGAGATGATGCAACGTTGCTTGGCCATCTCGGACGCCACCACGCGGGACGTGTCACCACGCGTCCCATCACGAGACTTGCTCGACACGAGACGTCTGGACCGGCCGAGCGGTCAACTCGGCCGAGCGGCGTGCACGGGACAGGAAGACGGCCACGTTGTCGATGCCACAGCAGGAGTGCTTCACCAACTGACAAGCGGATGGTGAAGTCATGCGGGGTCACCGGACTGAACGGAAAGGGGCAAATGGGGCTGGAAATGGGGACGCGCAGATGATCCTTGGTCGTTTCTAAACATGTTCATTTCAGGCCTGACCCCGTTCTGCGGTAGGTCGTTGAAATAGTACAACAAATACAATAATATATAACAACTTAATATATTAATATATAATACATAATTATATATAATATTATAGTGCCCATTAGTGCCCCAAGTAGAGATAAGTAAAGCGCTAATGGAGCTCTGCTCTTTGGAGGTGACTTGGCGATTGTGGTGGTGTCCTGGCATGTCATGTCATGTGTTTGTTCTTCAGATCGTCAGCTTGATGTAGTTTGGAGTCCGTTTCGGATTTGTTCAGCTCACAAAAGTCTAAGGGCCGATCGTCTTCTTCATTCCAATGCTGGAAGCTGAAGGCGTCAAACGAACGAACTCGCCCACGCCTTCTGCCCCCTGCCGCCAACGAGTTTCGTCTCGAGTCAACGGGATGCATTGATCGTCTCCAGCACCATGAAACCGATCGGGGGGGAGCTAGAATCACTCCCCCGAAAAGTCTTTGCAAGATCCAACACACTGGCGACCTCGAATCAACTTGCCGCGCCAGGCCATTCCAGCGTCGGAACCTTCTCGATAGCCGAAATGGTCGGCATGAAATACCAGTGAGGTGCCTCTACCTTCACTTCGACAAGGACAAGTCCAAGGAATAAGTGCTTTGAAGGGACAAAACACACGCATCCGTGCAGCCGAAAGCGGCTGAGCCATGGTTTCTTGAGTCGCATCAAAGTGCTGGCTGGGACTCCAATGGGGTCACATGCATCCTTAGGGATGCGACCTCACAGTACTCGTTGTGTGTGTGTGTGTGGGTCTCTTGGAATAACATTTAAAAAAGGCCGTAGAGATGTCTGCCACCCATCGGCTGGCCCCAAGATCTCGCTCATGGCGATAAGGATCTGTCTGGCACTGGCACTTCCCCTCGCACCGCGCAAGTGTCTGCTGGCATGAACCTCCTTTGGCAGGACGCCAGGTCAGCAGAAACCTTGACTTCATCACTCTGCTGTGGTCCACTGTCTGGGGATCTGTTTCTATTTCCCAGACTCCATTATCGAATACATCATGCATCATAAATTTATATATGACATATACATGACATGCGCCGTCTTTGGCAAGAGGAACGAAACAGGCATGCAAAGTTCATCGCAGGAGCGGTGCCAGTGCTACATGTATATACAACATGGGCAACCAAAAGTAGAGTAATGCACTATTATTGCCATTGCCAATCGACATTATATGCTTTAAGATGTTTTAAGTATAGCCGGTATGGACAATGTCCAAGCTTTTGAGTCAGCGGACGTTGGAGTTTTGTCCACCTGGTCACGACGGCAGGGGAATTCGAGTGACTCAGGACACCTAGAGGCGACTGGGCTGACAGTGTGGTGGACATCGTTGATGCATCACCATGTGGCGATGAAAGAACTGTTGAAGCAAGATTTGTGCGTGGAATTTGTGATCATTTGTGTCTGAGCCCACACGTTGTCTGCCGCTGTCCAAGATGACGACGCCAAAATGGATTGTCGGACGGAGCTCCTTCTTGGGATCCTACCAGGATGTGCTGTCATGTTTCCTTCATCTTCTCTCCAACCGTATGTCACATTGTGGGCGCTCTTCTTTTTGACAAATAGTAATATACAGTAATAGACTCAGAGATTGCTCTGAAAGAAGTACTGCCTCACCACATCTCACCACATGTACCGAGCAAATGCACCGCATTTGGGGACGAGAATCGACGTCTTCCTTCGTGCTGCAAAATCGGTCACTCCTCGATTCAGGCATGGCTATTGAGGCATGTGTCGCCTTCTTTGTCATGACTTGTCCACAAAAAGCCACTTCTTTCCCCCCCGAGACTTCCTGACAGGAGTGTTCATCAGATCAGCTTCATGGGAGCTTCAAACATCAACTCAGCTTGCAGGAAAAACAAACAAACATGGCTCACAGTCATGTCTCCATCTAATTCTTACAGGACACGCCCTTTTGCACAAAAACATCATCAAACAACATCGTCTTTTTGCTCGATTGTTCCGGATTTGGGTTTGCAACTCGGATAGGGAATGCCTCACTATTTGCAGTGCTTCAGAGGTATAAGGAGGTGCAGGATTCCTTCATGAAAAGCCCGCGGAGGCGCACGTCCACCTGATCCGGATCATGCAATCCTTCTACCCCAAACAAACGCCCTGATTCGCAGGGGTGGTCAAGTATTTCTATCCCTGAAAGAGAACAAAACAGGGCTGGCCGTACAGGGTAGTATAACTCTCTACATGCAGAACAAATCGTTGGATGCCGTTGGTTTTTGAACCGACATCAAGTTCGCTTCATTTGGTGGAGGGAACTTCGCTCAACTCAAAAATTGTTTGCTCCCTTATCTGTTGCAGCAAAAAAACGTTCAGCGCTGCCTGCAGGTTGCGCCAGGCATAGATCGCCATTTCATAGACCTGGCGGCTGGAAAATCAAAAACCGTGTTGTCAGCAGGTTCTGTGGAAACTGCCCCGGGAAAAGAACAAAAGCAAAGACCCTTTGGCATCGTGAACTGAGCTGTTTGTCAATGGGTTTGGTGGTGTTTTACATTTTGAAGAACGCAACGCCACTCTGTTGCAAAAAACTGAATTTCTGATTGGAGTCAAATGATTTAGGGCTACAATGTCCAAGCGAGAGGACCCAATTTGTTTGTTTGCTGAAGGCTGAAACCATTTCACATGGTGTAATGTAAAGTCGTGATTAATAAACCACCCTAGTTAATCCGAGCCCACAAGCCCCCCGTAGATTGTCCAAATTAAAAGAAGTGTTGGTGGCTTATTTCCCCCCTTTAATTGTCTAGTTGGGTGCCAGAAACGCCCCTCAGGTAATCCGAGCCCACAACCAGGTAAAGTGTTCTTATCATTACTACTACAACTACTACTCCTACTGCCACTCCTGCTCCTGCTACTGCTACTCCTACTACTACTACTACTACCACTACTCCTACTGCTACTACTACTACTACTTACTACTACTTACTACTACTTACTACTACTTACTACT